TTTAGCAAAAAATTTATCTGAAGATAAAACAAGATTTAAACAAACTATGAAAATATTTTCTAAATCATCTTTAGATTTAGTTACTCGGAAAGGTGTTTTTCCTTACGAATATATTTCTGATTTAAGTAAATTAAATGATACTTGCCTACCCTCGAGACAAGAATTTTATAATTCGTTAAAAGACGAAAATGTTAGTGATGAAGATTATTTACATGCGCAGAAGGTTTGGAAGGTATTTAATATAAAAAATTTATTAGAGTACAGTAATTTATATTTAATGTGTGATGTTTGTATTCTTGTAGATGTGTTCGAAAATTTTAGAGATCTTTGTTTTCAAACCTTTAAATTAGATGCTTCTCATTTTATAACTGCACCAGGATTCGCATTCGAATGCATGTTGAAACATACAGAGGTTAAATTAGAACGTCTTAAATGTTATAATATGCAACTTATGTTAGAAGAAGGGATACGAGGAAGTATTTGTCAGTCGGTTAAAAGATATGTAAAGGCTAATATACCAAATATTGAAAATGTTGATTTTAATGAAAATAAACCGAATTCGTGGATAGCTTATTTAGACTGTGTAAATCTTTATGGAAAGTCTATGCTTTCTGCACTACCCTATCAGAATTTTGAATGGTTTGAAAATTTAACATTAGATGTAACAAAAATTGACGATAATTCTGAGTATGGATATATTCTAGAGGTAGATACTGATTATTCTAAATTCTTACATAAAATACATAACGAATTCCCATTTTTACCTCATAATACTTATCCACCAAATTCTAAAGTGAAAAAACTTCTCACAACATTAACTCCGAAAAAAAATTATGTGGTTCATTATAGAAATTTGAAACAAGCTATTGCTAATGGTATAAATGTAACAAAAGTTCATAGAATAATCAGCTTTAAGCAGTCTAAATGGATGGTATCATATGTTGAACTTTGTACTAATATGAGAGCTAAATCTGAAAATGAATTTGAAAGACAGTTTTGGAAACTATTAGTTAATAGCATTTTTGGAAAATGTATGGAAAATGTAAGGAAACGAATGTCGATTAAATTAGTTAGTAGTAAAGAGAAAGCATATAAATTAATGAGGAAACCTTTTTTTAAAGACAGAACGATATATTCAAAAGATTTAATGGCAGTTCACATGCATAAAGAAACAATTAAATTCAATAAACCGATTTATGTAGGGTTTGCTATATTAGATATTTCTAAAACAATTATTTATAATTTTCATTATAACGTTATGAAAAAAAAATATGAAAATAAATTAAATATTATTTATACTGATACTGATTCTCTTGTTTATGAAATAAAAACAGAAAATTTTTTTAAAGACACTAAAAACGATTTATTTTCATATTTCGACACATCAAATTTTCCTAAAAACCATTATTGTTATAGCGAAGATCGAAAAAATCAGCCTGGATTCTTCAAAGATGAGTTAAAAGGCCGTATTATATTAGAATTTATTACATTACGACCAAAGCTCTATGCGTATAGTGTAGATGATCAAGTAATTAAAAAAGCTAAAGGTACTAAAAAATACGTAATTGATAAACATTTAAAAATTGATGAATAAATTGAAGTATTAAATGCATACATTCAACATAAATCGGTTGATAAAAAAATAGCATATCGTGATATGAATTATATTCAATCAAATAAACATATAGTTTTTTCAAAAACTACTAATAAATTAGTTTTAAATGCAGATGACGATAAAAGATACGTAATGAATGACGGTATTAACACTATGGCTTACGGTCATTATAAATTAAAAGCTAAATCTAAATATTAAAATACGTTTTTTTTTTTTTTTATAGCTATAATTAAAGCTTTAATTATATTAATTAATTGTTTAAATTTATAAGGATATGCCGCATAGACCTGTTGCCGTGGTTCGTCCTCGCATTAACAAGCCATTACACGTAAAATGTTCTCATATACGTATAATGGATGTAAATGAGCTGTATGACCTACGAAAAATTATTGTTCACGCTTTAGATGCGTAAATATTTCATGGCGAATCTATTGTCAGCGATCAATATATGTCGTGGGTTCGAGGTTTGTATCACGTTGACACTGCACTAATTCGTCATCGCCTTCGTCTTGGCTTGTCGTGGTGTTGACTTTTTGATTTATTTTTTTAATTTTTTGATTTTTTTTTTTAGTTTTGTTTAAAGCTGCAAAGCTGTATTTACCTACAATATATATGTTATAAAATAAATAATATACTGTTTTATAATTGTATATTATTTGTTTTAAACTGTAAATTATATTATATATTTATAATGTGTTATTATTTTATATATGTTAAAATTATATATACTATTAAATAAACAATATAATGTTTTGTGTTTTTGCTTTATGTAACATATTAAACAAATTGTTATGATTGTAAATATTAAAATATCTAGTATAAATAAATAAATATTGAAATTATTTCATAGACTGTATTTAAATTCTCATAATTTATTTAACAGGTTATTTAGTTTATTACTATAACCTAACCACTTAACATACATTTTATTATTTTTTTTTTTTAAAATACGTTCAATAAGAAAAGTATTAGGAAATTTTGTTTTTCTAATTTCTTCTTTATAAAAACAACCGGTTATTATATTATTAAAGCTATCCTTTAGCTGATAAGTTATTGGATTTGTATTTAAAATTTTAACAATAGTGAATATTTCAGTAGTCCAATTTGGTGTATCCTTTACTAAAATGATGTTTATACTTTGATATTCGTACTTTGTCATTTATTTTTAACTTTGAATCTGGTTTTTTATATGTTTTTTGAATAATAGTTTTATATTGTATATTATTTGAATTTAATCTAGCTTCAAGCGGAGTACAATTAATTGTTCTATGTTTTGTATTATTATAACTTTCAATTAATTTACCTAAAGAATTATACCAGTTCCATAATCCTGTTGCAGTAAAATGTGTATACATTTTATTTTTTATTGTTCGAATAACTCGTTCTACTATTCCAGCTTTTATACTACTATAAGTTGAATAATGTTTAATACTATATTTTTTCATTAAATCTTTAAATTGATTATTGTAAAATTCTATGCCGTTATCTGTTTGTAATAACTTTGGCTTATTTTTTTTTTAAATATTAGACATACCTCTTGTAACTTCTTTAGCAGATTTATTTTTTAAGGGAAATGTCCATATATATATTTAGTAAACGTATCTATAATTATTAAAATGAATTTAAAACCTTTATTTTTTTTAGAATGTAATAGCATATCTATTAAGTCTGCTTGCCAAATATCGTCCTTAAATTGTGTGATAACTTTCCGTCTCGGAAAAGTTCTTCTTGCAGACTGATGCAATTCATTTGCTACATTTTCTAATGCAGACATTATTAAAAAATATAATACACGTTTATTTTAAATTAGCTTATATAATATAAAATAATAATTATTAGATTATATTTAACATTAATTATAATATAATATTCCTTTCACGTAGTTCTTCTAAAATAGATATAATTTCGTTATTCACACCTGTATTACCTGCATTTTGAGAAGATGTTAAAAGATTGAGTCTTGTAATTAGTTCATTATGATCATCGTAATATACTATTTGTGTTTTTGGTATTACTTGTTTATATAAACCAGACCCCGTTTTAGAGGATGGTGTAGTAAAATTTATTAAATCCAGATCTATTTCAGTTTCCAACGGTGTAAACTTTACTGGTGATGAAAAATTTGATTGATCATTTCCAAGCCCAGAATCATCTATCTTTTTTATTTTTATTTTTAAAATATAATCGTTAAAATGAGCTAGATTTAAATTAGGTGAAGTTTTTAAAGGAGATGAGTTTTTTAAATTATTTTTCATTCGTTCGTATAATGGTTTTATAGCATGTCTCCATTTAAAATTGCTATTAGTTTTAGGTTTTCCATCTGATTTAAGATGAACTTTCGTAGTTTTTAATATTTCATAATATGTTTCAATGTCTTCAAAAGTAGTTTGTATAGGTACTTTCTCGCATAATAACGACCAAAGACCAATCTTCCAAGGAAAATGTTTACCGAAAACATGTAAATGACCATTTATAAAAGTTACAGGGTAATTTCCTATTTTGAGTTTGTCATCGGTTTTATCACAAAATAATCCAAATGATTTATCATATTTTCTAGATTCAAAAGGTGTATTTAAAAAATTTTCAAAGGCTGAAACTGATGAACTATTATCTGCATTTTCATCAATATTTTCCACTGGTTTAAATGCTTCAGTATCTTTTTGATTTTCTATAATAGTGTTAAGAGGATCGATTATTGGTTTAAACGTCTCACGAAAGTCATGATCAGAACTTATAATAACTCGTTTCATTTCTATTAATTTTCGTTTTATATTTTTCTTAGATGTTATTAAATGATTTAACAACATTTTACTGTACACCATGTTAAACAACTAATACATATGATAAAAATATATGTCTTTATATACTAAAAAATTATATTATTAATGATTTATAAGGTACTTATGAACGTATGAAAACCACATCTATATCGACCATGATTAATTTCACATGTTTTATCTAAAACTAAAAATCCATAATCTTCACGTTTCCAACATAAATGACACATTTGACGAAACTCGAAAAAATCCATGTCTGCTGAACAATGATCATCAAAAATATGTCGTAAATTTTTATCGTCTTGTTTAAATATGATTAAAAACTTTGTATTATCCCTTACAAGTTGTTTGGGTATTTTAGAATACGTCTGTGCTAAATTAAATATTGAGTTTGCACCAGAATGTCCACCCATACTGAAAAAATCACGTATTGGTGTTTGATTATCACAAATAACGTCGTCAAATATAAAAATTGAATTTTGTTTAACTAAGTTTGGTTTAATAACTTGTTCTGCATTTTTAAATATGTATAAGTTAACGCCTTTAATACCGTCGATTATATTTTTTAGTAAAATATATTTTTCTTGATTTAATGTTTTTGTGTATAAATATATATTTTCAAATTTCAGTCCATTTTTATGAATAATTAAATTATACATAACATTTGTTTTTCCCGATCCAGAGGGTCCAACAATTATTGCACGAATACTGTCTGGAAATAATGATCCGTGTCTTGATGGTTTCTTAACTATCTGAGAATCTACGTTTACAATATCTAACTTATTATTCTGTTCAATTAGTTCCATATTATATAAGAATATAAATAGTACAACAATTGGATAAATAATGTTAGTAGTGTATGATGCGTTCACTTTATAAGTCTAAACCAATTAAAACTGGTAAAGGATTATTAAATTCAGCTATAAATAGTCTTCCGTTTGAAATTCATGTACCAGGTTACCAATTTTGTGGACCGGGTACAAAATTAGAGAAACGATTAGAACGAGGTGATAAAGGTATCAATCCATTAGATTCAGCGTGTAGAGACCATGATATTGCATACTCAAAGAGTAATAACTTAGTTGATAGACATAAAGCAGATAGAGAATTAGAAAATCGTGCTTGGGAAAGAGTAAAATCAGGATCTATAAAAGAAAAAGCTGTTGCGTATGCTGTAATGAATGCTATGAAAGCAAAGCGAAAAATAGGAATGGGTTGTAACAAACAAAAGAAACAAAAAAATCAAGTTAGAGTTATATTGAAAGATAAATCAGTTCTAAAGAAAAAACCAAAAAATAAATTTAAGAAAAAAGGTTTTAGGTCAATACCAATTACGAATCAAACAGGTGGTGTTTTACCTTTAATACCTATTTTCGCAGGATTATCTGCTCTCGGTTCTTTAGCTTCTGGTACTTCAGCTCTATATAATGCTATAAAAAATTCTAAAAAACGCGGAAGTGGTTTATACCTTAATAAAAAAGGTTAGAAGTAGAAAATAACAGACAAATGGAAAAAAAAAATGTTACCAAATAGACCGCTTACTCAGTATGATATTATAAAATACGTTAACAAGTTAAAAATTAATCATTTTCGAGGTGTCTTTTCACGTGATAACTTACCTAAAAAACCAAATAAAATCGAGTGCGGAGTGATAAACTTAGATACTTCAAGTGGTATAGGAACTCATTGGGTATCATTTTATAAAAATAGGAATACAGTTGTATATTTTGATAGCTTTGGAGATTTACCACCTCCGATTGAATTGCAGACATACTTCAAAGGCTATATTATTTTTTATAATTATTCAAACTATCAAAATTTTAATACTTTCATTTGCGGTCATTTATGTCTTAAATTTCTACAATGTATGAATCAGTTACTTTAACTCTTACTGGAGAGAAACCTACATTATCAACAAATTATTTTCCACCAATAAACGTATACGAAGACTCTGAGATCGCAATGCTTTATCTACAAACATATAATACTATTCCAAATATCAACGATTCAAATAATCAGTTAAAAATAAAAATAATCACTGATGATCTAACTGATAAGAGTAAAGATATATCTATAGACATAAAAATTGAAAATGGTTGTTATGAAATAACTGATATTAAAAATTATATTACAAAAATAATTGATAAAGAAAATATTAAGAATTCAAAAGAACAATATATCATTTTTGATTTGTGGTTAAATTCTACAGATTTTAGATCATATATTAAATGTAATCAAGTAATAGATTTCAATGTTGAAAATAGTCTTGCTTCTGTATTAGGATTTGAAAAAAAAGAATATAATAATTTAGAGTGTGAAGTTTATCGATCAGAGAAACCTGTTAATATAAATGAAGTGAACTCTATAAAAGTAATGTGTAATATAGCTCAGGGTTCATTTAACAATAATCAACCATCTCATTCGATTTATGAATTTTTTCCTGATGGAAGAACTGGATCAAAGATAATTGAAGCACCAAGAAACCTTATCTATTACGGATTAAATACTACAACCGTTGACTCAATTCAAATTAAATTAGTTGATCAAGACGGTAAGCCTATTCATAATTTTAATGAGAAAATAACATTTGCTTTACATATCAAACGTTACGGATCTTAAAATGGGGTTAAAATTTATTAATAGTAAAAATAATATAAGACCATCACCACTAATAAAATCAGTTAGTCATAAAACTGATTTAGGCTTAACAACATCAAAAAATATTAAAAAAATAAAATTATCGTTTAAAAGTAAAAATATTCTTAAAAAATTAGGATATAAAT